CGGATTCGAGGACTTCTGAAGATGCAGTGGATTTGACATCTGTCAGTACTACTTAGAAAAATTAAATAACTATTTTTGATGAAAAAAATTCATTTGAAGTCCTCAGGCGCAAAAACAAAAAAAATGTGCTGGAAAATCGCTCACAAGGAGTGTGTGATTAAGGCAAAAATGGAACCGCATTCAGGTGGCCAACATTAGACTGAAAAGCAAAAAAAACCTTAAATACTTTCCATAGAATAAATGTAGTAAATGACAGCTGGAATAACACGGACATACACTTCATACAGGACAAAAGATTTGGATTTCTGAAGTCGATCGGGTCTGTTTAAGGCCTTGGACAGCTTGAGAAACTAATATATAAAATTTGGTTTAGTAAATTAATATATGAGAAACTAAAATGTGGAAACTAAACTAAAATAAAAACTAAAATAAAGAAAAATAAAATAAGGGAAAATAAAAGAATAAAAAACTAAAATATGGAAACTAAAAAAACTAAAAAAAAAACAAAAATATGGTAAAAAATATGATGAAAACTAAAATATAGTAAAGAAGTGGGATAATTAAATGAAAAATTATGAGGACAAGATTAATTCTTCAATAAAGAATTTGAATCGAAAGACAAATAAGACACTGCAAAGATGTTTAAAAAAAGCAATCAAGAAAGCTGGTTTGGGAATTCCCTTGTAGTGTCAAGGCTATCCGGACAATTGGTGTTGGTATTATCAGTAGTAAGACCGCCTCGATAACTAATTTAGAGATTTTGGAAGCTAGGTAGATTTTGGTATTTTTATTTGATGTCTGGAATATCTCAAGAGATCCTCAGCTACGGTTAGGCCGATCTTGGCAATTTTCGCACCTAAAGTTCACAAAAATTTCCTAAAAGTGCTATTTTTTCGCGCAAAAACCCTTGAAAACGTTTGTGTTTCAGTGCAGAAAAAGTGGAAAAAGGCCTTACACATACAGCGATAAGCATGCAATGGATTTTGTTTTGGGCCTATTA